GGTCCGTTTGTGCAGTTTTCTGTTGGCTAACCAGGGGGAAAGTCTTGGAGGAATTGTGTACGAAGGCCTCCAAAACAGTGTGTCATAATCTCTTCTCCTTGTCTCCCATTGACTCTGCTTTCTTGCTCCTGCACGCAAGGCTGGTGTCCTGAGATTTTCTCCCAGTCGCTGGCGTTCCCAAAGTGTGGAGGGCACCCAAGCGGCCCACTCCCACAGGGCCGGACCGTTGCATTGGCCTCCGCTCATCTGGACAGCCGTTCCATGGAAGGAGGCTCCCACAACTGGTCCTGCCGCTCCAGAGTGTCACAAACAGCACAGCTGCAGGGCGGTCTGGCATTTCAGGGTGTCTGTACGAATTCTTCCACTACTTCTAATGAAATGTGTTGGGTCCAAAAATACTCCGGTAGTAAGACGTGTGTATGTGTGTGCATGCACAGCCATGCATTTGCTCCCAGATCAGTGGCTTCCGAGGAACTAGGGGGACCTTAATTTGCATCCCACTTCGAACACTGATTGAGTGGAGAGGGAATCCAGGGGTTGTCTAAATGGACATCTGGGACTGGGGTTAGTTGGGCAAGAAAGGAATTGTGGCGGGATATAGCAGTGTCGGTTCCAGGAAAAAAGGGAGCATTAAGGGCGCAGAAAGGGCAAGAGAATTGTGGGACGCGTGGCCACAGTCCTTTTTCCTTAAGTAACAATGGGAGGTTAGTGACGGATGGTCGTGAGACATTGCTGGGGGCACATGCCCCCTTCCTTTGCTCTGGTAGCGTCTGTGAGGTTGGGCAGGAAGCAGCTGTACATGCTGGGAGTTTCAGTTGCACGAAGCTTGCAGTACAGGGTCTGGTAGTACGTGGTCTCTGGGCCACCCCGCTTTTCTCCTCAGGCACCAAGTTGTGTGGCACACCTGATGGCCCTTGCGATCAGGGCGCACGGGCGTGTGTTTCTGAGCAACGGGCATCGGCCGCTTCATGGGTCAGCCGTTGCTTGCTGTCACAGCAGAGCGTGTGATGTGACCAGCCGTCCCAGCGCTGGATGCCTGGAAGCAGAACGCGAAGAGCCGAAAGCTCAGTGCGAGCCCTTCCCTCAAACGGAGAGCTCTCTCATTCCTGGAGAAGGTCGAAAAGGAGGAGGCAGCAAGGACGGGAAGCCATTCTCAGATTCCATGCGGGTAGATGCAAGCGGAGCCCCTCCTATAAGGGCTGTCGAATGAATTGAGGGACTGCCGCTTCCACCGTCCGGCTAGCAGTGAAATCACTGAAGCTGGATTCATTCACTGGATGTCCAACGTTTGAGTCGTGCCTTCCCGGATTCAATCCTGCATTGGTCTTACCCTGGCCTCCATGTCAACCACACCCCACTCCGAAAGGGGGGAACTGGCTGCCCTTCCTCACTGCTCCCCAACTGACTTCCATGCGGCCAGCAGTGATGCCAAGCCTATGAAAGGGTCTCGAGGCATCCAGAAGGGCCCAGCCGTCTTGCCCCTTCCGGGGAGCCCCAGATCTGCCGAGAGCAGCCGGCTCCCTCCTGGCGCTTGGCACAGGTCTCCGGCGATCTCGGCTGCTTGCTGACCATTCCCTGCCTTCCTTTCGGAGCCAGAGGAGGTCGACACTTTCCCTTTAAAATCCTTTCCTAGAAATAAGTGCGAAGGAGATTGGCTTTGTGCGTCTGGAGCCCGGCTCGCTTGCCCACAGCCAAAAGCTGTCTGATGGCACCTCGACAAGCCAGGACAAACTGTATTATCGGGGGATTAACCACTAAATAGCCGAAAGGAGCAGCCTCGCCATCAGATAAGGCTGTTTGAGCAGAGTCAGGTTGCTTCTTGCATATAGAGCCCTGGTGTCAAATAGACTGATTTCCAATGCCTGGTCTTTTAAATAATCTTTGCTATATTCGCTGCTCTTGTAATCTGCCAAATCGTTTAATTTCCCCGATAGCAGAAATGCTGTAAAACCTAGATAAACTTGCAGCAGAAATTAACTCCAAGGTGGTCCGCCAGGCCTGCATTCGGCATTTGCTTCCCTTTTTCCTGGCAACCTAATCTTTGATTAAAAGGACGGCGTCCAGGCGTTCAGCTCTGCCTTCAGCAGATTGCATGAGGCGGCCATCCGGCCTGCACCGAGTTCGGCCGGCAATCACCAAGTGGGCCACGGGCTCTAAAAATGGAGTGGCCATTGCTCTCCGGAGCGATTAAATGAGGTGGCTTTTCTGACCGCACGTGACCCTTGTAAATTTATTAGCCGTGATGGCTGTCAGTGAAGAATAGTCTTCATGGGGGGGGGGGGGCAGCCAGGGAGGCACTTTAACTGTGTAGAAGGAAAAGACCAAAATAAACTAACGAAACAAAATAAATAGATTAATCAGTCTGGGGCATAGACTTGGCACTTTGCACTCAAATGTGGCCCAGGGGGATTAACCGGGAGAAGCCCGTGACGTTTTCAGATAATTTGGGGATCATCCGTGAAAAGATTTATCGTCTTCTCCTAGACCAGGGGTCTCAAACTCGCGGCCCGCGGGCCAATTGCCGGGACGGGCAGGGCACGGAGGAGGGGCCCTGCGGCCTTCAAAGCGCCGGCGGCGCCCGGGCCGGCTGCAGGATGAGCGGCCCCCCACCACCGCAGTGGTGGGATACTTGATGCGGCCCAGCCTCACCCAGACTCTCCTTCCAGCGGCCCCCAGGTCAGTTGAGTCTGAGACCCCTGCCCTAGACACTAGCTGCTTACCCTGCATTGACAGAGGAGCCATTGGAAAAAATCGCGGGGGGTCCCTGCCGCCTGATCTCGTCCATGCGCCCGTTCTGTTTCTTCTGGCAGAGGCTAAACTCGGCCACTCCGTGATTCTGTCTCGAGGACTCCTCCCGATCTTGTGGCCTGTTGCCTCAAGTTTATCCGAAGTATAACAGGTGCAGTTGTCAACTTAGAATGGGGTTCAGGGGAAATGAGCCTCAAATTCTGGGGGGAAGAGACACGTATGTATGGGGGACCCCTCCCTAGCGCTTAATGCCGGGGCTGCGACTTGGTGTCAGTTTTGTATAACCGCTCATTTGAGAAAAGCCACTCGATATGAGAAGAACCAGAGGAGTCGGTTCATGCACAGGCCCGGGCTGGAACTTGCAGACCATTCGACTTTCCCGAAACAATCGAAATTTCACAATGATGCCCACCCTCTTAGTGTTTCCAGCCCCGCCACCTGCAGTGCCCCTGGTTCTTCTCCTGTTTGTTGTAGAAATGCTCCAAGTCCCAGCCTTATCCTGTGCCAAAATACCTTGCGCCGGCTGAAGACTTGAGCAGTGCAACTGCTGGAACAGCAGAGATTGCCGGCCTCATTTCGCTCACCACCAGCAGCCGCAAAGACATTGGAGGGCGGGCAGGAAGGCGAACTGTTCAGAGGGAGCGCTCCGGCTTGATCCGGGCACTGGTGGGGGCAGAGATGGGCCCTTGGCTGTGCAAGCGTCACCACTGGAATTTCAGAGAGTGCACTGAATCAAGGGGGGAGAAGCCCCGCCTCGTTGGCTCCCCCATCCTTGGGCTGCTGTGGGGCAACGCACGGGGGGGGGGAGCATGCGCCAAGGGCTGATGGGTTTGCAGGCCCGGCTGGGGTGGGGGATGGGCTGGCTGGCCCCCAGTGCCCCACATGCAACAGAGAAGGGAGCTCCCCTGGAGGAGCTTCAGCAGAGGAACTCCCGGGAGGACCTTGAAGCCCTGCCGCCGCTTTCTCCGTGACCCCGTGCTGAGCAGCAGGCCCTCCCTTGGCTTAGTGGGTTTGGACGTGCGCACGGAGCTGCCACCTTTGTGCTGCACAGCAGTGGCCGTGACTTGGCGTCCGCCAGCACGGAGCAGTTTGCAGCCAGCGCGAGCGCTTGGTCTCATCAACACCTGTTCTGAACAGTACAGGACACTGATATTTGGCATCCTGCGCTCTCTCTCCCTGGCTCTGGCAACAGTCTTCCTACTGGGGGCACGCTTCTCTGTTAATTTAAGACCCTAGGAATCCCCTCGTGCTGCACAGGAAGCCGGGCGCCCGGCATTTCTGCAGCTCCAGCCACGCTCTTCACTGCCCCCATGCCTTCCTCGCCTAGCTGGCCCTCTCCACACCCGCCGCTGGGCGGTGCGGTGCAGTCCCTCCCCCCGCCTGGGGTGTTCCCTTGCTTCCCGTTTCCGAGCTCTCGGCCGCCATCCCCTCCTGCCCAGCAGTGCAGCCACCTCCTGTCCCTGGATCTCGCATGGCGCTTTCTGCCCAGAACGGGGCTCTGCTTCCTTCACAGAAGCGCCCTCTTGCCAACAGCTCCTCTCTTGAGCAGTTAGGATATTGGCAAGCATTCCCTACGCCAACACTGCATGTAATACTGGTACATAACAAGGATGGGGGGAAATGGCGTGGCGGAAGCACTGGGCAGATGGCCAGGTGGCCTCTCGGAGGGTTTGTGCAAGGAAGCTCGGGCGGAAGGGGTAGGGATGCGAAAAGGGGAGTTCCTGGGGGTTCGGTGGCTCTCTGAGCAGTCTGAGCTGGCGAGTCCGAGTGGGGACCCCAGCACAGAGCAGCCAGCGATCCGGAATGTAAATGCCTGTTGTTCTGCCCACTTTTGGCCAAGTATTCTGAAACCTGCAGGAGCCCATTCCTTGCTCCCAACCCGCCCTGGAGCCTGAATTGTGCAAACTGACGCAATCTCAGTCAGTTGCCTTTGCTGGGCTCTGAATCTAAGATTCAGCCTGTCTGCTCATAAACTGTGGAAGCGCACCGGCGGCGAGGCAGTCCGTAGGGGCGGCCGCAGCCCAGACGGGCGTGGTGGGAGTCGCCGCGTGCCCACTCTGGCACCCTGTCCTTGCGAGCAGAATCGGGATACTGTCCCACCGCTGACCACGCGAAGCGGAGCAGTTCTGGTGCACGCTTCCTTGCCTCTGCGCCAGCCGCCGGAATAGCGTACCCTAGCCAGAGTTCTTTCTTTCCAGACCTGTGATACATGCTCCGTGCTGCTCTTGACAGTGGTTCTCTTCTCTCCGCAGATACGAGCCCTCTCTGCTCGACCTGGTGGAAGCGGCGAGTCTGGGCCTCCAGCAGCACTGCAGTGGGAATCGCGGCCGTGGCAAGGTGCTTGCGCCCCCGAGCGGGAGCCGGAGAAAGCCGGGTTGGAGTCAGAGTCCTTCTGGCACCCGAAATGGAATAGATGACCTGGAAGAGAGAGAAATTCTGGAGGAGATATTTTTCATTTGACGAGCCCAGCGTGTGCAGCCTTCCTGGTGGATCTGAGGACCTTCCCTGCCTCCTTCCCTTTCTAACATGGGCATGTGTACATGTCAGAATATTGGTTTTAAATTATTTGATTGACGGATGATTGTCTCCTGTCTCCCCACCAGAAAATTAACACGGTCACTTTCCTATACAATTCCCGAATCATGTTGCAACAGCGTCTGTTTGAATAAGCCGAGCAGAGTGTTGGCGGACCATTTCTGGACTCTTTTCATGCACTGTTACCAGGTATAATTTTTAAAGGAAAAAATTCATGCCGTTGTAAAAGGGGCTGAGAGCTGTATTATTGACTTTTACTTTTTAGCCGTGAAAAACAGTTTTCTAGAACCTTATCTCTTGCTCACTCACGTGCAAAAGCACATTCCAACTGCACCATTTCCCATTTTGAATGCAGCCCACTAAACCCGAGAGTACTCCATATCCTGACAGCATTTCTGGATCCTTCTGTCAAATTCTGCACTGTGCCATGTCACTGTTTTTTAGGCAGAGAATCTGCAACTCTTCCTGACAGTAATAGAGACTTCCAATTAATGAGTGTCTTACAAAATATGCTTCGTTAAAATAACGGGGCATTGGGCGTAGAGGACTTTGTGGGATGGCCAGTCCTTACTGCTTAGGTGTCCTCACAGAAGCCGGCCTCTTGGGCCCCCTAAGCTGCTGGACCGTCTCCGCCGTTGCCGTGCAGAATCGCGGGAGCTGCAGGGCAGACCAGCTCCTCTGGCTCCGCCTTTCTCAGCATCCCACCTGCTCCCCGGCCTTGCAAATAAAGACAAATCAGTCACTGTTTCCACTCGCAGTGCCCGTTCCTCGGTCTGGCTTTATTTATTCGTGCAGTGCCTATTTCCGTTTGCTCTGAGCAGCACTCCCCCATCAGCAGCAGGCACGGCTCTTTCAAGAAGCGAGCGGCATTGGCGAAAACGGATCGGCTCTCTGCACAGAGCAGGGGCCTGACTCCGAAAGCCTCCCCTTGCATGGCGCGGGAGGGGCTGCCGGGAGAGGGAGCCACTCAGTGGGGAGCCCTCAGCCCAGGGGCACTGGGCTGCTCCCGAGACCAGCTTTCCTGCCTGCAGGGGGAGCAGCTAGCCGAGGTGGGCTAGGAAGCTCGTCTGTTGACGAGGCGGCACTCTGTCCGTCATGCACGGGCTAGGCCAGGAGAGGGAGGTGTCCCGATGCCCCGTGGCAGGGATCCACGTGGCCTTCCTTGGGGTTCCCTGACGTGCCGGGGCTGAGCCCTGCCTCCTCTTCTGCACTCGAGCCACAGGTCAAAACAGGAATCGCCGCACTCTTGAAGATACCGCAACCTGTTCCAGTGTGGCCGTAGGTCTGGTGAATCCTTGGAAGCTGGCTCAGTGTTGGCCCCGTCACAGCGGGACGGGCAGCCTGCGGCTCCCCAAACTTCTCGGCCTGCGTCTCCCGTCATCTCACCTCAACGGCTCTGCTGGCCAGGGCTGATGGGAGTCGTAGGCCGCTGGCCTGGGCGTCCATGCGTTGCCTCCGTGGCGCATGCAGAGTCTTGTGTTCGTCCCCTCTGCCCTGCCTGAAGCGCCTGCCTTGGACCGGTCGGCAGAAGCGCGGGGCTTCCGGCGGCTGCAACCCGCTCCAGGGGCTGCCACGTTCCTGCCGTTTGGGCTGCCATGTTTGCAGAACGAAGGGAACCCAAGGAGGAATTCCCTCTCAATTCCAGAATAACCCAAACATTTGGCCTTTGGTTTTCACTCCTCCCCGTTTGCCTGCCTGCTTGTCTTTTTAGACACCATCTTCCACTTTCAAAGTGCCTTCAGATTCACATTCCAGAGTGGTTTGTTTTTTTCTCTGTCTCCACTTCTTAGTCAGTGCCAATATTTAGCCTCTTTTCATACTGAATCTAGGATTTTTGATAAAGCTGTTGATAAACAGGTTAGATTAATGCTGTTGATTTTTGTGTCAAATTGTACCTTGGTCATCAGTGTCTTTTGAAAGGAGCGTCGTCAAAGTGTTCAGCTCCAGACTTTACCCGCAGTGCTTGAAAGTCATCCATAGAAATGACCCATCTTTGAGGCACTTTAAGAAAAATGTGTATTTGGCAAACGGGCCGAGAGGTTGCTTGCCAAGGCGGCCAAAGCACCCCCAGTCTAATTTTGCCACATTCACAAAGCCAGCAGAGGCACAGTCCTCCTGGTGTACATGTGGCAGTAAATGTGAGGGAAACAGGCAGTGTGCATATGAACATCTGCCGTGGTACCCCTCTTACCCGCATCAGTGTGCAGTGTTATAGATGGCCCAGTCAGTTTGCTTAGCCTCCAGGTAATACCCAACCTCACAGGTTGATGAGTGAACGTCGCCACGAGGGAACTCTGCAGAGGGGATGCGCAGTGTAGGAAAGACGCTGCCCGGGCACATGCCTTCCCTAACTCGCTTTGGAAACCCCGTGCCCAGACGAGTCCCAAGCCCCTGCCATTGCTGTTTGGTCAGCTGGTTTTATGTACGACCTCCGTTGAAGTCGCATTAACCCCCGACATGCATATCCTCCAGAAAGCAACCCGGTAACCTCCCCTCCCTGCTGTACTTCTCAGTCAGCTTGTGCAAATAGTGCTTTGCAGCCGATGCCAATAGAAGGCATTTTGTCACACCGCATCATAAAGCTGATGTTATTAAAAACATTTATGGCCTTGGGGCGGCGAAAGGGGGAAGAAATCGATGGCTGTCAAATAGGAAATGACCAGGATGGGCAGAAATTATTTTTCCATCTGCCGAAGTGGTAGAAGAGAATCAGAACTTGAGCTATCCAGAGAAGTCTCTTGGCACTGCCCGTTTACGTGCAAACTTGTGTTGCTGCCAGCCGGGGAGCAGGAGGGGACGGGGAAAGGGAAGGGCCCCGTGCTTGCTGCCGGGTGAGATCAGAACGGCCCCGGAGCAGCGTTTCTCCTGCTCAGCTGCCCTTCGTGCCTCTGGTTTTGGTTGCCTGTTGGTGCCTCACTATGGTGTTGTTTGGTCCTGTCACATGCACTTTGTAAGCGAAGGATCTGTAAAATGTTTGCCCAGCACCCTCCCCTTCCTTGGGTTCTGTTCAGTAAATGCTACCTTAAACTCGATTTGACCTTTTAAATCTAAATATGTGTGATGTTTTACTTTAATAAATTATCAAGGTGGAATTCCTCCCCTGTTAATTTCTCTGTGCTTTATTCCTTTCCTTCCTCTCTCTTGCTCTCCTCTTTTCTCTGCAGTTGACTGTATATAGAACTTGAATTTCTGGGTATTTCTCTTGCTTTGAGTCAAGTATGGATCTAGACCAAAAAGAAAGAAAAATGAAAAGGAAAAGTAACCCTTGGCAAATGTGTCAAGAACATTTAAAAGGGCTTCACAGTTTAAATGTCTTGTCTCCAGCATGAGCCCTCTACCCCCAGCGACTCACAGAACAATGGTTGGCTTGGCCAAACACGCTCAAAATTCAGGATGCAAATTGGCAAGAATTGAAAGCCAATGCCAGGCATTACCTTATATCTGACACCGGGGCTCGTATGAGCTTGGTAAAGTGTCACAAAGAGGAAGGTCAAGATCTCTTCTCACTAATAGCAGAATGTAGGACACAGAATAATCAACTCATATTGTGACAACCCAGATTCAGGCTGGACATCAGAGCACGGTCAGAGCAATATGGCAGTGGGACCAGCTGCCTGGGGAGGTGGGGGGCCCTCCCACACTGAAGTCATTCAAGGTGAATCTGGGCAGCCCCCTGAGTGGGATGGTGTGACTTGATGTCCTGCAGCAGCAGGGGGTTGGACCTGATGGCCTTCATGGCCCGTTGCAACTCTACTGTTCTGTGATTCCATGATTCCAAGTGAAGGGTTCCTAGGAATGAAGGAGTAGGAAGGATCCAGTAGGTCTCTGTGGACTGGGATCACAAATCAGCCAGTTTCCCGCAGGCAGCAGAACGCCAAACCACTGAAGGCCCGTTGCAAGCGAGGGCTCGTTCGCAGGGGCCCGTCCTTGCTTGTTGGCTGTCGCATGGCGTGGGATGGCGTGGCAAGAACGAGCCGCTGGAGACACATGCCGCCATGGCAGTCCAGCCATGCGGAATCTCTCCCGCAAGCGGTGCACTTGCCCCCCGGGAGCCCACGGCCCCGTGAAAACCGCCGTGCTTATGCAAGCTTTTAATCTGGTTTGGTGTGTTCAGTGCCAACTCCTGCTTTACGAGTACCTGCCATGCTGTTTCTTGGGGGGTGGGGGGAGGATAATTGATGCGATGGTCACAGTTTTGTTGCATTTTCTGGGGAGGATGCTAGCCCCGTGGAGTGGAAAGGCACAACATGCCTTCACCGGCAAAATAAAAACTTCCGTATCACCGTATGTTAACACAAAGGTGGTATTTTTGGTGGAGTAAATTCTTTTGAGTAAACTTGAGAGTCATCTCGCAATGGCATGCTGCACATGAGGCCAGAAATCGGTGCTCCTGCCTCCCAACATGTTCCTCTTTTGCAGAGAAGAGTTGCATAGCCCCGCAACTTAGACTGGAGTCTTGTTGCGTGGGCGGCTGAAGCCTTCCCTCGAGCTGACCTGGCTCAAGAGAAAAGGGTGAAGTTGCCTCTCCCTGGTCCAGATTTCTTATTCACACACATGCATGGCTGCCTCTTTAGGCGATCAATTCGCAGATCTCATTTGCTTGCTCCATCATTCAGCCATTTTTATTCTGCTCTCCCAAAAGCATCGCTCCTTTGCCACCGTGCTCGGCCGGCCATCGGTCCGCGGAAACACGCTCTGTTCCACGACCTCTAAAAGCTGCAGCCCACCGCTGGAGAAGCACCATTCACCGCAAGCGCGTTCTCCTGCTTGGGGCGAATGCGGAGCGATTTGCTTTGGGCTGGATTGGGTGGGAGAAAAATGGCAAGCAGAAATCATAGATACAAACTGGAACCTGTTAAAGCTTCCAGAAGTCTGAATTTGTTTTGAGCTGGCAGAAAGCCCCTTGTCCTTAGGAAAAGTGCTCTGCGCATTTCCGTATCGCCCCCCCCCCCCGTGCACCACTTTGCAGCCAGTCTGAGCCCTTAGCAAAAGGGGGGCTGTCCAGCAGCGAGACCCCTTGGTGGGCCCACCCTGGGGAAAGAGACCTCTCTGCTTCGCGGCCAGGCTCGCGGTTTTGCCTGGGCATCATGAGATGTGGGGATTGAAGAGTCCTGGAGTTTGCGGGGGGGGGGGCACTAAGCATGATGCTGAATGCATTTCTCTCCCCCCCCCCTTTAAAATAGTGATCAGGACAATAAAACCACCTTTGCTCCCCTGCCGAGTTCTGCTCGCCCCAAAGGCTCCTTTGCAGCAAGTGGGGGTGGGGGGGGGAGTTTCACGGGCCATCCAAAGCTCTGCCCCAGATCTTGAGGGTGGGTGGCGAACATGAGAACAATGGTGCCCTGTGTGTGGATTATGCGGAGTTTTTCCTGGAGGGTAAAGGCCTGCCTCCAGTCCCCTTTTCCACTGCTCACTGGGGACACGTTTGGATGATCTCCGGGCGATGAGAGAAAGCTTCCCAGAACAATATTGATTTAAAACTCTTCCGTGTGTTTGCGTGTGCTTGGAAATGGTAAACTATATTAATTTGCTGTGTTTTTTTTCCAAAGGAAAATTATTTATCGGGAGGCACTTTTAGGCTCGAGTGCTCAGGGCCTTAAATCATCATAATAAATTTGTGCTATTCAGGCTTTCTTACATTGTAATAAATTTGTTTTAAACATGAATGAGAAGATCCATGATTTCTTTAATATACTGTTATGTATTTCCTTTCAAAATGACATGGCTCACTACATCAGCTCGGAGAATAATAGCAGGACATTGACAGTACTTAAAAACAACTTTGCCCGGGAGTGTGGCAGGTTAACCAACTCTTACGATGGGCCTTGGGTGAAACGGAAAGTTGCTACTCTGCGTTTTTAACTTTGAGCAGAGTGGGGAATCTCTGGGCGGCCTTGGAGGGTTGCATCATTTGGATTCCCCACCTAGGCTTGGGATCTTGTGCTGCACCACTGGCGTAAAAGATCCCGCTCTTTCTCCCTGGGTACTCCTTTCCCTGCCCTCTGCTCCCGCGCCACAGATGCCTGCATGCTGCTCTCTTCCTTCAAATCCTTGTTTAAGTTTTGGGATTTAGGTGCTGCTCTTCAAAGCGTTTTAGGATGGGTTATAGAATGTAAACCCTTCTCCGGGAGCCCTCCATGGAAGAAGTTAGGAGGGTGGTTACTCGGAGGAGGGCTTTCTCAGCGGTGGCGCCTAAGTTATGGAATGCGCTCCCCAGAGAGGTCCGCCTGGCGCCGTCGTTATTTGTTTTTCGGCGCCAGGCGAAGACCTTTTTATTTAAGCAGTATTTTAAATGTTAATATTATTGAATTTTATTTGGCCAGGGCGGCTTGTTTTATAGTGTATGTTTTATATTATATATTTGTATTTTATTGTATATATTTTAAAATGTTATTTTAATTTTTTGTTGTAAGCCGCCCCGAGGCTTCAGCGAATGGGGCGGCATAAAAATGTTTTAATAAATAAATAAAATAAATAAAGCAAAATCAACCAAAATCCTAAGAAAACTAGGAAAGGCCTAGGAGCAACATAAAGGCACTACAGGAGTCCAGCTTGAATTCAGAGGCTGCAAAGACGGTGCTGCCGAGTGGTGCTTGGCCAGCTGCGCTTCTGGCGACGCTTGCCCCTTCCCGCGCGGCCCCCACCGCACCTCGGACGATGGAGCAACATGGCGAAGCCGCAGAGCAGGCCGCGGGGGGGCACGACGTGCGCAAGGGGGTGGGTGGTGCTTCCGGGAACCTCAAGGGCAATAAAGGGCAAAAGCGACACTGGGTGCCTGGGAACGGATGGAGAGCAAAGCCCGGATGCCGCTTTCTCCCAGTGCCGGTTTCAGGGGGCTACAAGCACAAATCTTTTCACAGACCCGGGCCGTCTCTGGGTGCTTCCGCTGATCCTGTTTGCCTGTGTCTGTGGAGCACCAGCCATCAGCCATTCGCCCAGGTTGGAGTCAGCGCAGCGCAGGGCCACAAGGATGGTGGACGGATTGCAGGGAAAGCTGTATGAGGCGAGACTGAGGGAACTGGGTCTCTTCAGCCTGGAGAAGAGGAGACTTGGAGGGGATCTGTTGGCGACATACAGGCATGTGAGCGGGTGTCACACGGAGGTGGGTAGAGACCTGTTTTCCCCTGCAGAGGAAGGCAGGATGCACTCCAACGGAGCCAAGCTCAGGGAGCCAAGGTCCAACTGGGATGCCAGGGAGCGCTTCCTGACGGTTCGCTCCGGAGGGCATGGGACGGTGCGGTGACACTTGAGCTCGGCTCGTGTGCTTCCCATGGACCGCTCATGGGCCTGGTGTGTGCAGAGGGCAGGCGAGGGGAACTGGACTCCGGTGCCATCAGGTCTCTTCCCATGTTCCCCCACTGGCATGCCGAGGTTCTCCGTGCGATGGGGAGGCAAACTGGCCCAGCATCCCTGGCGGGGCCCATGCTCAGGCCTGTGTGGTCCGAGGAGGTCGCCTGGCCTGCGACGTGGAGAGCCTCCATTTCCCCAGGCTTCATTCCGCGTGCCTTCCCCTGAGCTGTCCAGAAAACCTGGCGGGGAGACACACCCTCTTGGCCACCTTGTGCTTAAGCAGAATATATTTCTCTGGGGAGAGCTTGACTTTCCTCCTCGTGACAGTCTTGGAGGTACTTTTAGACGGATGTCATGTCCCCTCTCAGCCTTCTCATCTCAAGGCTGAACATGCCCAGTTCCCTCAGTCTCTCCTCACAGGGCAGTGTTTCCAAACCCTGGATCATTTTTGTTGCCCTCCGCTGGACCCTTTCTAATTTTCCTGCATCTTTCTTAAATCCTGGTGCCCAGAACTGGACACAGGACTCCAGGTGAGTTTTTGAAGCGAGTATTCGGAGAGCACTTTGCTAATCAAATCCTTAAAAATACATAAATACATAAAGGCCTTGCATTTGGAAGACTAATGCATCAGGAGGGTGGCTTTTAACTGGCCAGTGGGTTACTTTGTGCAGAGAGTCTGTGATGTTAGGAATTGCAGTTGCCCCTGCCTGTCGGTGTGGGGGATCCTGCCCCTTAAGCCGGGCATGTCAGGGGATGGTGCTGGAAGTTCTAGCCAGTTCCCACTGCAACGAGTCACCCTGCCAGTACAGCGTCTTCT